TCGGACTGTGGGCATTAAAGTCTCCGAGTAAGAGAAATGGATGTCGGAACTGTGCTATTAGACGGTTGAGATTTCTTTCCAGTGTGTGGTTGTCTGTGTTCGGAGGAATGTAGATGGAACAAATGTCTAAATTCCGTCCGTGCAAACGAATAGTGCAAGCCACCGCTTGCAATGGAGTGTTGAGCGTTATCAAATCATGTACGTAGTCATTGTTGATGTATAAAGCGGAGCCGCCGTGGCGCCGCTCTCCTTCAGTCTCGTCGTATCGATATAACGAATAGTTGAACAGCGAAAAGTTGTATGGATCGGTTGGAAGTAACCATGTTTCTTGTAGCGCTATTACTATGGGTGCTAGTAGAAGAAAGATCATTTTGCTTTCGGCCCAGTTCGAAACTAGGCCTCGGCAGTTCCACTGGAGTAGGTTGTTTATTGTTGTTCTAAGAGAGAGTACCTGTTTGTTACACCACGACGGGGCGAAGCCCAACTTGACGCACGGTTGTGGCCCATTGACACTCTGATAGGAGGACGTGACGTGCGTGCGCTTGACGACTGACTATCCTTTGATGGAGGCTGGGGTCGGGGATCTTTCGACCGCTGGACCCTCGTCCAGCTTGCGGTGGAGCGGCCAGCTCCGGCAGAGGGCTTTGGCTGCCGAGCGATCTCCTGTGAGACCTCAGGCTGTGACTCGGGAGGAGAGGAAGGCATCGGGTCACCAAAGATGGTCTCCGTTGCGTCGTTGGTGTTCGTAGATGTGGTCGTAGATGCTGTCAGGGGTTTCAGACACTGAAGAGGGGGGAGTGCTGAGATCGGGTCAGTCTGAGTACTGCATGAGGTGGTCTCTGTACTGGCGGCCTTGGCATAAGACCGACCGGGAGCCGGAGTGGCTGTTTCGGCTTCCACACGGCGACGAGCGTCGGGGTAGGAGCAGCCGGACTGAGCTTTGATCTCGCAGATACGCTTTTCCTTCTTCCACGTGGGGCACTGAGAGGAAGAGACTGAATGCTCCGAGCTACCACAGCTGAGACAAGTAACTGGTTTGGTGCAAGCAGAGTCCGCATGAGGGGCTTCACCACACTTCTGACAGCGGGCAGCCTGACGGCAGGTGGCACTGCCGTGACCGAATCGCTGACATTTGAAACAGCGGAGCGGATTGGGAATGAAAACTCGGACGTCTTTCTTGAGCCAGCCGATGGCGATCTTCTCGGGCAGGGTGGTGGAGTCGAAAGTCAGAACGAGCAAACTAGTGTCCTGTCGCTGACCATCGCGGAAGGTAGTCAGCCGTCTGACGTGTGTTACTCCCTCTCCTCTCAGCTCTGACTGGATCTCATCCTCGGTCATGTGGCGGATCTCGGGGGCAAAAATCGTGCCTTTGCAAGAGTTGCGACTCTGGTGGAGAGAGACTGTCACCTGTTTGCCACAGAACATGGTTGTCTTCAGGAGTGCTTTTGTGTCCCTTCGATTGTGAGTTTTGATCACGAGAGTGCCGTTAGCTGGAGCTTCGATGTCGGGGCCATGCTGTCCACAGATAGCAGCGATCTGCTTCTGAGGCCAAAAAACGTTGATCTTCCGGAAAGAGAAGTCACTATCGCTAGCCTTCACTACCAGATAAGAGCCGTCGAGAGCCAAGTACGGTTCGAGTGGAGAGCGATCGACAGAAGCACAGGCAGGTGCGTTGGCCAAGTTCGTGCGCGGGTCAGAGCTCCGGGAGTGGTCGGTGGACGGGCGAGGGTCATGGCTCCGGGCGAGGTCGGTAGACGAGCGAGGGTCAGAGTGCCGGGCGGGGTCAGAGGTCAGGTCAGCGGTCAGGGCGTGGTCAGTGGACGAGCGAGGGTCGGTACCGGGTAGATCAGTCGAAGGGTGGGTAGAGGAGGGGGGGTTGACGGTCGGGCGGGAGTCGGTGTCCATGGCAGGGGGAGGGGTCGGATTTAGAGGAGAGTCAGAGTCGGATTCGGAAAAAGAATCGGATAGCGGGCGCTGACGGCGCCGCTTCCCCATCGTGGGGCAACTGGATGCGGTTGTGGGCAGTGAGGGAGAGTGAGCTGGAACAACTGGTAAAAGGTTGGTAGTGAGGGGTTGGGGATGCGCGTAGGAGAGCTCTCAAAACAAACCCGTGAAATGCCAACTGCCGAAGCAAGTTAACGATCACCTTAGCCTGTGATGAGTATTTCGCCACAAAATCGAGACATATATAGTTTTACATACGAACTTAGTTGTCTAGTATTGCACACATGTTGGCGAGAACATCGAATGTAATAAACGAATACATATGGTTTTTAATATACACATAGCCAATACAGTTGTCCAAACAATACAGCAGTTTAAGCGAACGGAACGTTAAAAGGGGGGCGCACAACTTAATCGAAGGCTTTAGCAATTTAGAGACTGGTAAAAGCGACACCTATTAACAAAACTGTAACTCGCGGTTCACAGCATCTAGCGGCGACCGGCAGAAGTACATGGGCCTAGCGGTGACCGGCAGCAGTACATGGCTACAGGCATCCTATAAAATTACTTTTACGATTGCAGACCACGTACGAAATTGTTCTTTACCGAGATCTCAACATACATTTTCAATACTTACAGATTAGTTTGTTTCATTTATTTTTGTCACCATCATGCCCACAACCAACGAAAACGAATTGCGTTTCCTTGCTAACTGCTGATTACCCAGAATGTAACACTAGCTAGCGCGCACCCAGCCGGGCCCCTACTTATTCCTGAAATCGACACGAATAAATACACATCCAGCAGAAAACTGAGATACTTAACACAACCAAACCTGAATGAAACGACCCGTAGTCCTTATCCTTACTTTCAAACGTGAATTTGACAGTTTGGATGCTAAATTATCCTGAATAAAACATTCAGATTCTAGCACAATATTTTGATTTAGATCAAGATTCAAGATGAAAGTCTCACTCGACCTAAATATATCAGATGATACCCTTTACAAAAGAATGGTGTCAAAACCATCAAAACTACTGCTGTTCTAAAGCTGTCGTTTGGCATGGTATCGGATATTTACTCAGACGTACGCAAAACCTCAGTGGCTATGTGTTAAGTATAAACATGTCTATAGGCTGCTAAAATGTTTGATGTGTTTGTTGCTAGACATTTTTACGGAGCGAGCGAAGCGAGCGTAGTCTTTCCTTAGATTAACGGAAATTTCTGAGTATGAGCGGCCGGCCGGCCGGCCGGCCGTGCGGACGCTTTTGCGAGGCTTATATCTCAGCAACCACTTGACCGATTTACATGCGGTAATTTTTGTAGGGTAGCTTCATTCCTTTTACCAAGTATTGGACTATTCCCGATGCATGTGGGTGACCCCTTATGCACGTGCCACGTGCAAAACGAAGAGGTGTCAGTTTTGTAATTGTTGCAATATCTCGGTAACTATTTGGCCGATTGCGCTCAAAGTTGGCATGTAGGTAGGCACCCACTAGGCACTGCATATCCATGTGCCAGAGTTGGGGTGCTGCTGCACGTGCGCACATGCAGGGGTCGTTTCCAGATCTCGAGAACGGCTCGACCGATTGCGCTTAAATTTGGTACACAGTTAGGAATCGGTTAGTAGGGTGCCGTGCACAAGTCAGTTGGGACCCATTTTGCACGTGCGCACGTGCAGGGTGCCGCTTCCAGATCTCGAGAACGGCTGGCCCGGTTGTGCCCAAATTTGGCACATCACTAGAGACCGGTTAGTAAGGTGCCGTGCACAAGTCAGTTGGAGGTACCCCCTCGAAATTTCGCACGTGCAAGGCCCACCCTCTCGCTCGCTCCGTTAGTCGCCCCAAAAGGCGTTATACTGGTTACGGAGCGAGCGAAGCGAGCGTAGTCTTTCCTTAGATTAACGGAAATTTCTGAGTATGAGCGGCCGGCCGGCCGTGGTCACGCTTTTGCGAGGCTTATATCTCAGCAACCACTTGACCGATTTACACGCGGTAATTTTTGTAGGGTAGCTTCATTCCTTCTACCAAGTATTGGACTATTCCTGATGCATGTGGGTGACCCCTTATGCACGTGCCACGTGCAAAAAGAAGAGGTGTCCGTTTAGTAATTGTTGCAATATCTCGGTAACTACTTGGCCGATTGCGCTGAAAGTTGGCATGTAGGTAGGCACCCACTTGGCACTGCATATCCATGTGCCAGAGTTGGGGTGCTGCTGCGCGTGCGCACGTGCAGGGGTCGTTTCCAGATCTCGAGAACGGCTCGACTGATTGCGCTCAAATTTGGTACACAGTTAGGGACCGGTTAGTAGGGTGCCGTGCACAAGTCAGTTGGGACCCATTTTGCACGTGCGCACGTGCAGGGTGCCGCTTCCAGATCTCGAGAACGGCTGGGCCGATTGTGCCCAAATTTGGCACGTCGCTAGAGACCGGTTAGTAGGGTGCCGTTCACAAGTCAGTTGGAGGTACCCCCTCGCAATTTCGCACGTGCAAGGCCCACCCTCTCGCTCGCTCCGTTAGTCGCCCCAAAAGGAGTTATACTGGTGTATCATTGATACGCAATGTATCATTACATATGAAAAAAGATATATGTAGGTACTTGTGTCTGCCTGCACTTACAAAATAGAGTATCTGCGAATACCACTCATGCCACACCTAACATACCTAAAATATGCACAAAAACATAAAACAAATACACCTTCCTCCCTTTTCACCCAAGATCACCTCTGTGATGACATTTCGTTCGTAATGTCAATCAAACAACTCAAACGTACAAATAAGAAAAGTTGATTAACTAATACTAACGCACGCATCAAATGATTCATATTAGCTGTTTTCACGACGGCCAACTGGTACACATTTGGTGCACATTTGTTGCAGATTAGGTGCAGATTTGGTCAAATTAGGTTCAGTGTGTCTCTTAGTAGCTATCAGCTAGGGCTGCACTAATTGCTTATACCCCTGCTTTGTCATATTATCAGAGAGTATCATCGATTAAAACACTGAAATAAATTCATAAAATAAATATATTTTCTGTAAAAGAGATTAGGTGCAGATTTGGTCAAATTAGGTGCACTCGCCCGATAGCCCGTCGTGAAAACGGCTAATGCTTCCCTGAACAAGTCTCATCATCTTCGCGACGCCTCATTTTAGGAGCCTGTGATCGCCTATGACATTACTTAATGAGCCTTCCTCTGTTTCCTACAGGGGAGGCCATATTAGCCATAACAGACGATTAAAAGTGCATTATTACAGTGTACCCGGGACCGAACTGATCGACAAAAATCATATTAAAACGTAAAGTCCAATTAAATTATGAATGTAAGATCAAGTACCATAACTCAATGAAACAAGAAACAACTATTTGTATATAAGTTATATAGCACTATAAGATATAAGCACGTTTCGACTGCATCCACTTCTTTGCGAGTCCTCCGAGCCGCTCCTACGGCTGACCCATTTTCACCCTGACCATTCCTGTACCCCACTACTGCCGAGAGGCCAGAGGCGTAACTCCGCTCCGTCCAGCCCAGCGGTCTACTCAACCAGAGGCACTTCGCTCGGAGTCGCGGACGACTTGACGAACATCTGAGAGAAGTTTGAGACGATCGAGGCCTTCCGTTTGTACCACTTATCCGTCTTCTGCCTGTGGTAGGTCGGATCAGTCTCCATGATCGCCAGCATCTTCGAAGACTGGTATTGCTCGTCCTCTTCGTCAGATTTGTGGTGTTGTCTCTCATTCTTCGTGATGTAGGAGAGCAGTTCTTCCTGCGTTACTATCCCGACTATGATATCTTTGGTCGCCGTTTGGCCGTTGCCCAAAACTGAAATTTTCGGTTGCATTTAATGCCAAATCACCCCAAACAGCTGTATCATAGCAATAAAATCAAATAGATTAAAATAAAGGTTAGCAAGTAAAGGTAAACGAGCAAATAAAATGAAGGTTTAAATGGACATGACACTCGAAACCTTATGCATATTTATCACTTGGTAAACATAAATGACGATCATGCGAAATGGCTCCGAATTAGGAACATGACAGTTGCAACTTATATGTAAGCATCATAAATGTAATGACTCCAACTTTTAGCATAAGTTTGCTGACACGAAAACTAGGTCCAAGTATGATCTGTTGTAATTAGCTTGCCATACAGTATACATGAAGGATGTCTAATGCAGCTGTAAATAATTAAAATGCTTCCTTGTAGTTTTGCTTCTTAAGTGCAACTAATGGCCATTTTATATCTAATGCTTACACATATTCTGGGTCTGAAGGACAACTGCGGATCGTTGTTTCTTCAGAAGCCGCGCCAGCCTGCCAAGGCTGTCATTCATATAAACCTTGCTAAACTCGCCATGCAGCACCTAGAAAGGTTGTGTGAACGTGTCAGATGTCGCCTAAGCAGCAAATACAAATGACGGACATCAGATGGCACATTGCAGACGTAAGTTATACATGCACGCATATTGTCCATGAATAAAGTTTAGCTGAAAGAAGAATACCAAATACATCCTAAGCATTGAAACGTTTTTTTTTCCTTTTGAAGAGGCACCTTGATACATTTGAAGGAAGATGTCACGGTACCTTAGGTTCCTGTTTCCTTATGCGTAGCTTTATTGTCACCTATGCACTCACCCCTGCCACTGGTGTGAAGGCCTGGACTTGGCCGTCCATCAGCTTCGACAGCATGACTTCTAGACTAACCACGCCGCAAATGTCTCTGAAACAAATGCCTCGAAAATTCACGTCCGATCTCATTTTCGTCACAACCGACGGATGTGCATCTCGGGTAACTGAAGAATGAGCTTAACTAGGTGATAAGAAGAACCTAATAAATTCATACTGAGTTTGTATGTAGTTCGTTCCCATTTCAATATACAGGGTGTCTCAAAAAAAGTGTCACGGTTTTGAACATCTCCCGTTTCGTAACCATAAGGCCTACATCATTCAAATTTTCCAGATTTAGTGGCAATAATTTGACATTTTATGTGGTAAAATTACGAGTACCTAGGCAGAATGGTTTTTACACTAGAACAAAAAAAATAAAAAAGCTCAATTTTCGTGCTCTAGGAGATGATACGTCACAGCCTGCCGTCGGTCCTGAAGAGTCTGGGCCCCGTTCGCCTGATGAATCCAGAAACAAGATCATCAATGCATTTTTGAAACCTTTTTACGTTAGAACACCGTGTACAACTGCCATCTGGAGCACAGCAGCAAGCTGAAACACAGCCACAAACATGGGCAGCGATCAACACTGATTGATTTTCAGACGACTCGAGTTTCCATGCCTCGACGGCATCTTTGATGGAAAAAGCTTCTACTCGGTTTTGTTCCGAAACACATAAAGAGAAGAAAGGATAGCTGATGGACAGTTTTAATGTTCCTACTCAAACATGCACAATTTCTGGGTGTGCGCAATGTGGCAGTGTGTCACAAGTCCTTTGCACGGTGTCAGCGACTGCAGCTTTTGACGGAAGAGTCATGCATGGCAACGGCGCTGTCCTGAGACTAATGGGTGATTGCAATTCCATTGTCTGTTTTTCATGGCGTTTTTTGGTCTCTTATAGTTGTAGATAATAACTGACGAGCACGTTGGTGGGTGCAACAAGCAAAAGCCGAAGTCCCACCGAAATCGTCAGCAGACAGTGACGTATACCATCTCCTATAGCACTCAAAATTGAGATTTTTTATTTTTTTGTTCCGGTGCAAAAACCATTTTTCCTAAGAGCTTGAAATTCTGCCACACAAAATGTCATACTATTGCCACTAAATTTGGAAAATTTGAACGATGTAGGTCATGTAGTTAGGAAATGGGAGATGTTCAAAACCGTGACACTTTTTTGAGACACCCTGTAGAAGCCCTCATTCACAGCGACTTCGCTGGATGCCCTCAGCTGTACGACCCTTACCCAGCATCATTGATGACGGGCAGCTGATCGAATCCCTCCCTCTTCATGATATCGACGGCGTCCTGGACAGTGACCTCCGGCAGCAGCGTCATGGGAGCCGTCACCTTCAGCACGGATACAAGGAGCTGGCACCACCTACGGTGGTCGAGCAGCGTCACATGAGAAAGAGGCACTTGCTGCCTGTAACGATTTCATTTTGCTTAGTGATGTAGAGGAGCATAAACCAATGAGAAACAAAGAAAAACTCACCTAGATATTTATCTCTTTCTATGACGTCTGTCCTTTTGATTTAACGATCATACATTTGTGTTGGAAATTATAAAAGTATTGGAAGCGCAGTCCCTCCGGACAGACCATGAATAACACTTGCGTTGGATGATTATGGGCACTGTCTGGTTTGTAAAATGCAAGGTGATTTACCAGGTGTCATGTTTGGGCACCAGGGAGTCGCAGAAGCCACGGGTGGCCATCCAGTCGTCATCCAGGAACCTGGTCATGTAGTTTCGGACGCTGTCCGGGAGAATGACGACCACAAGAGAACCCTCGGGAAGGTCACGGGCCGCCTGAAGCGAACAATATGGACAAACAGAACAGCAAAACATGGAATCTGTAGCATTTACCTACAACAGGACGCGTTGCGGGACACGGATGTTATCTGTAATAATCGAGAATATACCTCAGGAGTACACAAGGGGATCAGCGTCAGCGATCGTTATATAGGGCACATTCAGAAGACCCAGCGGACAGTGAGTTTAGAGTTACCTGGCACGCGGCGTGGACGGCGGCCCCACTGCTGCCGCCGATCAGCAGTCCCTCCTCCCGGATCAGGCGACGCGCCATCAGGAAGGCCGGCTTGTCACTCATCTTCACCCACTTGTCAATGACGCCGTAGTCTGCGCGTAAGGTGGCGGGACGGTGGAGAGAATGTTTCGTGATTTTGTTTTGACTGAATCTGTTACTAAGCATCGACATCTTGATTTGCATTGGGGACAAACTAAACATAATTAAGTCCGATATGACCCATGAAACATCCAGAATATTCTTGCAAGTGTACAGTAAGCACTCCTTAGACCTGAGAGCTCGGCCGATCCCTTTCGAGTATGGGCTGAGAGGATAAAATACAGCGTTAGTACGCGACATTTACCGAGCACTGTGGGCTGAAACTCTGAGCCGATCCCCTCCACGGCCCCGGACGGGCCGCAGTTCTCGGCTCCGTCCCCGTAGCCCATCACCGAACTGTGTGGGTCCACGCCCACGATCACACAGTTAGGGTTACTCTCCTTCAGTCGGCGTCCCAGGCCGGTGATGGTTCCGCCAGTGCCGGTACCTGCCGCAGCGACATTGGCATTAGAGAATACATCTTCACTGCTGAAGATATAAGGCAAGACCCATTTTCACATGCCACTGATTTCCATCAACAAAGACTAACCATGACAAACGCTGCACTTTCGGTACACCATGAAGTAAGTTGTCCCAGTTTAGGACAATAACAACACAAGCTTTCTCCACTCTCAGATTGTCCCATCACCTCCGACGGCCATGTCCACTTGTCCCCCGCACTGTTCCAGGATCTCCGCCGCCGTCGTGTCATAGTGCGCCAGCGGGTTCCCAGCGTTCCGGTACTGGTCGAGAATGACAGCGCCAGGTATCTCCTTCTGTAAAAGCACAGCACTTGGTAAAAGAGAGGTACTCGCCTCCAACTAAACCTACATGACTAACTGTTCTCAAAGCCTGCTCGATATTTTAGATACAGTCTGCGTAGCTCTCACGGTTAGGGTTTCGAGAAGCGATCTCGTTCGCTCTCGTTCGCTGACCTGAAGCTGCTGCGCCACGGAGATGTGGCTCTCTGGCGAGTCCCAGTGGGCGGACGTCGGCGTGCGGACAATCTCCGCTCCCAGGGCGCGCAGCACGGCCACCTTCTCGTTGGACATCTTCTCCGGCATCACGATGATGGTGCGGTAGCCCTTGACGGCCGCCACCAGAGCCAGGCCGATGCCTGAAAGGCAGTTATCGTGATTGCTCTTCAGATGAATTGAACAGTTATGTTGCGAATATTTTTACTGATCCGCAAGTTTGACATTCTTAAATGCTTCTGGATTTTTTTTTTTTTTTGAGGCTCTCTGACATTTTTTAGTTGTCTTGCAGCTTGCACTGAGGGGGTAGTTGAATAATTTAACATTACCGGTGTTTCCGGAGGTGGGCTCGATCAGCGTCGCTCCCGGCTTCAGTCTGCCGTCTCTCTCAGCCTCCTCCACCATCCGCATGGCCACGCGGTCCTTGATGCTGCCACCCGGGTTGAAGTACTCACACTTCACGTCTGAAAATGCACCACAAAATTTAGCAGAAGGAATCTACCGTGACATTTTACTAAGAAGCAATATTTGAAGCAGAACGATAAGCCATGCAAAATTATTCCCCAGTATGCTTCATTCTGTTTTGATTTTCGAGTGTCTTTATAGTGTTGCATAATTATGACCATCACCTTTACCTATGTATCAATCGGTATCACTACGATAAAGCAAGTAAGCTCGAGGCACAGTTTATTGGTTTTACAAGACACGTCCTGGAATTAAATGTCAAGAAAGTAAAAAAAAAAAAAAAATCATACGACATTCGGATTAAGCAATGCTTACACATTTCACATTTCAATCCGAGCGATTGCGGAATCTTGTTGAGCTTCACAAGTGGCGTGCTTCCAATCATTTTGAGGATGTTGTTCATAGATTTGCGGTCATCGCGGCCGCTGGGGTACCTATGGATGTATTTATAATAGTTATCAGCGTTGGTACATTATTTGAGAATAAACATAAGTTCAGAAACATGAAAATGCTGGTAGTAATTGGAGATAAAATTCATTTAGCCAGGCCACCCCGAGGTAGTTCAGGAAAATGATGCCTTCATGCTTCACGTATTAGGAAATTGTGTATAAGTAAACCTATTTAAGACAAACAACGCGCTACATTTCATATGACATCTGCAGCCTCTGTGCACGTTTGCACGTTCCCTCACTCACGGGCAGCGGCGCCGGTGCGGGCTGGTGATGGCATCGGCCCCCGGCCTCCAGGTGCAGCGAGACGGCTGATCGGGCCTGGCCAGCTCCCCGTCCCCGGCCCCCCTCCTCACCAGCTCCCCGCCTCCTCCGCCCAGAGACAGCGAGGAGATGGCTCGCTTCGCCTCGGTCAGATTAGGCGGCATGGCGCGGTGGGGTGTCGAGACGCCTATAGTGCAACTGCCGGAGGGAAAACTTGATACCTTTCTGTTTAAATTGTTAACCCGCGCCCCAGTGGCGGTCTCAGCCAACTTCGCCCTAGTGGGGGGGGGGGGGGGGGCATATGTTACCACCCACCTCTAACTCAAAAACTAAGAGGGCTACTGCTAGAAAGACGCGGTAAAAACAGTCGATAGCTCTCAATGCGTACGTTTGAAAGTATTTTGTCATTTTTCACCTTAGAGCAATATTGGGGTCACCAGAGGTCATCAAAGGTGAAAATTTGCCAATTGTCATTATATTTTTCAGAAAACATGCCGCTATCTCAGACACTATGGTAGCTAGAAAAACGCATTGAAAAGCAATCGATAGCTTTTGAGCTCTTCTTTTGATAAGGACATTATCAAAATTGACCTCAGGTCAACGGTTTAGCCTCCAGAGGGCAAAAACTCCAAAAATAGCTGTTTTTACGAAAAGTGTTTTTCGACAATTTCTTTCGACTCCAAAAAGCCACGACATTTCTATTGCCAGAGTCGTGTTCCCCTTTGCCGAGACGCGTCGATTGAACTATAATTTGACCTTGAAAGGTCAACTTGAAAATTTGACCTCAGGTCAAGGTCATGACCTGACCGGATAAGGTCATGTTGCATATCAGTCGATGCGTCTCAACAAGACAAACACAATGAGACCATCCCCAGCGTTCTATCTCTTTCCAATCGCGAGTTATTGGCAAAAAACTGTTTGTAGCCTCAAATGACCTCGGATGACCTTTCTAGAGGCTATCAGCAAAAATGACACCTTGGTCATCACGAGTGGTCTAAATTATTGTGATTCTGAAATATTTGGACTGTTCCTATGCGTACACACGGATCTAGAAGCATTTTCATTTTTCTCCATTGACTTGTAATGGAAAGGTCACGCCACTGACCTGACCTTAGGTCAGGGATATAAAAAATCCGAGATATACAAATTGTAGGCGCCCATAACAGCGTGCAATCCACCAAGTTTAAAACCTTTCTGACAAACACTGCAGGCTGGACAGGATTGCAAACTTTTTTTAGGCTTGATCAGTTAACTTGACCTGGTGACCTGACCTGACATGACCTGGGGTCAAAAATTTCACACATTGTCCAAAATTGATGTACCAAAAGCTACGCCAAGCGGCGCGGCGCTACGCGCCGCGGTTTTTTATTCACACGCAAAAAACGCGACAGGGTGGTAACATATGCCCCCCCCCACTGGGGCGAAGGTTAATTGGAGCGTTTATACGCTTATTCTGAGTAAGTCATGACCACATATCTTTGCTCCATCCTAATTGAATAGGCAGGTATTTATAAAGATACAAAAATGATCAATAACATGGCAGAAATGCAAAACTTTTATTGCAAAATAGGCCAAAAATGACAATAAGCTTTCGCTTTAAAGCATGATCTGATTCATGACGCCTAGATGAATAGTTGTCTTCAGCTTAAAATGGCTCAAAATATTAATGTTTTACTTAAAAAATCAGGTGGTTTGCACAGTTTTCCGGTAAGAGTTAAACACCCGTTTGTTTCGCCAGGACTGTGATCACCGTATCAGTTTTACCAGTCTCAGAAGTTCAGCACTCACACATACCGGAGGTAGCGGAGCCGGTCCGTCGGGTGCCGTTTGAGGTAGAGGTGTGACTCGTTCGGCGCCGGGGACGTCACCGGCCCGTCGGCACCGGCAGCAGCAGGGGCGCCGCCAGGACAGAGTTCGGGGAGGTGACCGATATTCTCAGCGGTGAAACGGACACCTTCCAGCGACCTAAAGCTGTTTTCGTGACATTCTTAGGGATGCCAATAGATCAGTTTAAAGAACTAAGCCTTTTATGTTTTTGGGTCAATTACGCGATTACTTGTTGCGTCTATGCCAAAACGTTACATAGTTTGTCGTTTGTGGTACTTATCCTAACAAAATAATTATAAACCGACACAAATTTCTCCGGCCTTGAAATCGCCGTAATCGAATTACGCGACAGACGCCTCGTCCACTTCGGCTACACCGAGGACAGATGCTTCTTGATATGTTGGCATTTTTTCTTTTTGATATGAAAGTTAAAAATCATTGATGGATTCTAGCATATAGTGTAATGTAGTTTAACCCGGAGTTCTCTAAATATTATGTGTTGGAGAGAGTTACACATGAGAGAGAATTCCTCAGAGCCCAACTACCCTGATAATTTGATTTTCCAATTGCCATATAATCCAAGGGTATAAAATCCAGACGATATTGGTCTTTGATATTAATTGACCGATTTACGCTAAAAGTAAGGTACTGATGTTATTTTATTCAGCTTACCTGAAAACGTATATTAATGGCATTTTGTGTATGGTATACCGTTCATTTTTAATAAAATATCTTACAGCTGGATGTTGAAGATGGATAAACCTTCAAAATTCGCTCGCGATTTCTAACTAGCCTGTACATACTCTCTGCAACTCGTTGTCCAGACGTAAATATGCATACTCTCTGGAGACCATCATGAGGTCGCTCGTGGACTACCGGGAGGAAACAGCCAGCGCGCTTTTACAAGTGTGTTCCCAGCAGCGGGCATCAAGTGCTTGCTATCACTTCATCAGCCGAACAAATGGTGTCGGTTGAACCACGCCACACTTGGTCAGAGATTGAACACATCGTCCACGAATATCGCGTCTGTGACATTTAGACAAGTGCCGCCCGCGCCCAGCGAAGGACAAATTTCGAAACCAGTCCGCAAAAACACACCCAGATGTGTCCCTGGTCACTCATGTTGGGGTTTTGGCATCTAACATCCTGGCCTTCACCAGTACCAAATGGTCTTTCAGCGCTAAACGTTCCACGTCACCCCGATTGATGTTATGCACGTTTGACGAGTCAAGAAACTAGAAAGCTAGGTACAAACTTTTCTTCTTGAATAACTAATATTAATTCGCTATCATGGCACATTCTTGTTAACCCCTAACAAAAAAGGAAGAGACACGAACCATATTACGAACTAGTTAGATAGGCAAGGATGTGCATTCTAAATGTCTGAACTTCAACTGCTAGCTGCCGCAGTTCGGACCGCCGTCGCTAGATGTCTCTGTCGTGCCGACTGGACTCTGCCAACTCTCCCTGGATCCCCTGATCAGTGGCAGCCCATGTTCCTCCCACTGCCAGCCGGCGGTCGGCCCGCCTGCCGCCATGGGCGCCGGTGGAGCTTGGGCGACTGTCTCCGTCCTGGCGACACTTCTGCTGCTCAGAGGTGGGTGACCCTTCATAGCCCTTTTACGACGGGTTATTTCGAAGTATGTAATTCGAGCAGAGACTGGGTAGGTAATACATATCTTCTCGCATTCAACCTATGCGTAGCATTAATTTCCCTTCCCATATTTTGTTGGAGTATACATAAAAGCGCGCTAGCCGGAACATAGCCGACGGGCGACGAGTTTGCGATACAATCGTTATTAAAGTTATATGGGCCGTCTGAAATGGATTGACCTATGCTGTATCTTCGTCGTGATATCAAATATGTACTTACATAAGTGCTTGTCACGTCAAAGTTCTCATCAAAAGACGAAAACAGCTAGCGTATCTGATAAACATCTTATTTCATCCTACCAATAGCGCTTTCTTATGTGTTAAGAATCCATATCCACGATGCAATTGAGAATATATTTCAGCTTTGTGTACCTAAATATAAACTATGCGTTTACGAGTATGACAGTGTTATGTCTGTTACCTTCCTGTTATGTCTGTTTTGTTGTTACCTGGTATAAAAGCACCCAGCATTTAGCGTTACAGACAGCCAATGATGCATCGCTAAACATCTGGCTAGAAATAATGTTGCCTGATGATCATCCATACATCTCCCTGAGCTGGGCATGGAATAACTTGGATCATCATCATCCAGCGTTGCGATCGATCCTAGCTCCCATCTGGCAGTGCCAAAACTACGACTGCCGCCCACCCGGCCCCTCCCGTCCGCTCTGCCCCCGGCCCTCCTCCCTGCTCTCCCCTCCGGGTCCGTCTTCCGCCGTCCACAAGAGAGAGAGAGAGAGAGAGAGAGAGAGAGAGAGAGAGAGAGAGAGTCGGTACACCCTCTTCGAGAACGGAAATCGCACACAGCCAACAACAAAAGGACAGGGCCACCGAACAGCGTGATGGAAATTATGGCGACGGCCACGATTATTTTTTTCTCTCTTGCTCTCCTTCCCTCCCTCTATATCTACTTCTTCTCTATCTGTCTCATTCTCTCCTTGTTCTTGCCTTATTCTTTCTGCAAATTTATATTTTGCCCCTTCTCCTGAACTGGCTCATTCACTCACTGACTTCCTTCCTCACCTTCCGTCCTCTGTCCTCGCTCTATACTGTTCACAACCATTGTTACACGCTTCCCAGGTAACTGAAACAACACACTCACTTCCTTTACCAACCTTTCACTAAGACCTGCCAGTGTCCCAAAATTTGTTGGTTTGGGTGTGAAACGACATCCCATTGAAAATCATTTTGCACTCTTACCACCAATTTTTTCAGAGCAATTTTCTCCTCCCAATTTTACCGAGGAAAGCATTTGCGAGGATGGTCGTTTTACATCATACTATTTGCCACACTTCTATAGAAGGTTTTGCTATCTATCTGTTTTCACTCTTTTTGGGCCTTATCTGACCAGCTATTTTCCACTCTCATCCCCCTTATTGCTGATAAATTTCTCCCTCAGACACCCAAGCCAAAATGCAATTCTGGGACACTGAGACCTGCTGGCATCGTTTTGTTTCCACAGTTTCCGAAGGTGTGTTCATTGAAGACCTGCGCGTACCAGCCGTCGTGGAACATAACGCCAACGCCACGGCCGTCCTCGACTGCGTGTACGACCTGGCCGCTCGGGAGAGTGACTTGGTCACAGTGAAGTGGTTCTTCAAGGACGAGAACCACCTGGTCTACCAGTGGGGGAAGGGCCTGGCGCCGGCCGGCTCGGGGATTTTGCGCGGCCGACTGGACCTGGAGCACATCGCCTCG